TGACCTTTGACCTGCCGGGCCAGGAGACGTGGTCCAGCCAGTCCGATACCCAGTGCACCAACTGGAGCTGTGGTCAAGATGGCTAACACCGCTAATGTTAGCACGTCCAAACCAAACTTAATTAAGGCCTCGTCCCCTTCCTTCCTCGCCATGTCCAATGCCTTGGAGCCAATGGCAGCCTAGCACATACAGACATAAATAACTGCTCAGGAGAAGTGCAGATTAGCAATTAATGCTATTAATCTATCATTAAAATCACAGAGGTGGTTTTAAGGGAAACAACGGTACTTTTTTAGTTTTTAGTCATAACTGAGGAAGATGTATAGGACCTTGGGTTTCATGACTAATGACAAACTAGAACATGTTTGTGAGATTAGTGTAGTAATTTAGGTTTTAGAAGTCAATAAAGAGAATTCAGGAGCCATATAGGTAGTTCTAATCAATTCAATCTAGTGATTTCAGTGGTTTATAAAACACAAGATATGTGTGGATAATTTTAGTGGCTGTTCTGGACACCAGTGGCATTTTAGGAGTGTAAAGAGATGTTATGGATCCTTTAGAAGTTTCTGGATAAGTCTGAAGTGTTTCTAGTTCTGGTTTAATAAAGTCGGGTACATTATTCTTGAAAAATGAATATCTTCTAGCAGTCTAATATCAGGATTACACACTCACAGACCTGCACAGTAGCTTTAGGCAGCCAGGCCACAGAAATGAAGAGCTTCTCTTTTAGGTTGAATCCTCCATAATGAACCAACAGGAAGGTGACAAGTAGACGGATCACCAGACCAATAAGAATGCAGGCCATACCCAGACCTAAGGACATAAACACAACAACAAAAAGAAAACCAATATCTTAAATTTCCTCAAGCAGTGAAATGTTTTGCTCTGCAGGTTCAAGCTCTTTGATTACTGGACCCACTGGGCTCCTAGTAACTGAGAACAAAATCTAGACCCAAATGGAGCAAAGTCTAACTGAAATATACTGGTAGTATAATGTTCTTACCCACAGTACTTGGGCTGAGTGCTTTAATCGTGATCTCAGCTCCAATCAGACCAAAGAGAAGTGGCTGAAATACATCCCATGACCGACCCACCATTTCTGCTACTGGTGCCTGATTGCGAAGTTAGAGATACCTGGATTAACCATATTCCATGGTGCCAGCCATTACAAATTATGTTGATTTAGGGTAAACATGGCAAAATCCAAGGGGCGGGATGCAGGTTAAAGTGGTCCTGATATATGATACCTTTTCAGTCTTCCAGCCCAGTGCAGCCAGGAAAGCCAGCACCAGTGTACAGAGACTTCCAGCTCCAGAAAAACCAATAACATTACTGGTGAAGACTGAAAATGTGGACAGACCCAGCAACATGAGGGTCCTCCTCAATACCAGATCCTCCTGC